CGACTAAGATTATCTTTTTTTCTCCCTCTGTTCTCTTATCCCTCTCTTGCTCTCTATCTTCGAGCTACTCAAAAGTTCTAGCCATCCTTCTTAATTGGACTTTAAAGCAACAGTCCAGCAGGGTTTTTACCTTCGACACTAATGGTGTGGAACGATGCGCTAGCCCTAGTCAAGAACATAAGAAGTGTGACTGAACAAAAACTCACCTTGGAAAGCCGCTGGAAAGGGAGCTGAACGGCTTCGAAGTGGGCGTGGTTGGAAGTCGGCCGAGGGATTGCAGCCGACTGAGCAACCACGCCCACTTCGAGCCGTTCAGCTTCTCAGCGGCTTTCCAAGGTGAGTTTTTTGTTCAGTCACACTTCTTATGTTCTTGACTAGGGCTAGCGCATCGTTCCACACCATTAGTGTCGAAGGTAAAAACCCTGCTGGGACTGTTGCTTTAAGTAAGGAAAGTGATTTGAGCGGCTTTCATAATCATCAGATGACATAACTTTTATCGAAGAAATTCAATCTAGCATGGTTGGAGTATCAACTGTAAAATTTAAAAAGAAGAAAAAACTTGCCGGTGTGATGTGAGACTTGGCGATTTGCAAGAAATCATTGGCTCGAATTTTTTGGTAGAATGTATGTTGCCCCTCGACTGGGAAATTCATGGATTTGTAACGAGGGACCATATATTCCACTGAAAATTCAGACGCATAATCAGAATTAGGGAATCCCACGACATCCCTGGATCATGAAATCCTCTTGTAATGCGCTAAATCGAACCCGAACGTAATCCTACTGTGTAGTTGGACGGTATTCGTTCCATAGCTCGTTTCCAAATGATGGAACCTATTCCAAGTCCTCGGTATTCTGGTCGGATTATGTAGAAAGCAATATAGGCTAGTCCGTTGTTCTCGCACCATACCACTGAGCCAATGTAGCCACCATCTTAAAGCTTTTAAAGCGATTAAATATTTTTTTCGGTAAATACTTGTTGGATTTAGTACTGTCTTACTAAGGAACTATGTCCCATAATAAAGCGACTTGAAGTTGATGCAATCTATCAATAAAACGCTCTCTCTGCTGTTATCACAAGAATGCTGGGTTGTGTGCAAAACTTTCGCCCAAGCCGGGATTCGTACCTGGATCTCCTACTTTCCAGGCAATTGTGCTATTAGTACCAGTTGGCGCCGCACGCATTGCGCGCGCAACACAGATCTGCGGCGAATTTTGATGGTGCGACGAAAATTTTCAAATTTGGCTTGATACATACGAATATCTGAATTCTCAGCTAAATTCTATCCGCTCCATCATCGACGGCTTTCAACCTCTTTTTCTTCGTCAACCATTATCCTCTTTTTCTCGGTCTCCGGACTGCTTCCGGACAATAAATCTCGTGGCAAACTCCGCCTACTTCGGTGCGTGCCCCGCCCACCAATAGCATTTGGCCCCCTTCCTTTCGCCGACCTCTACCCCTTTTTTCACCGGTCTCTGGGACCTCTTGGAAGCAGCTGATCTCTTTTCCCTCGCCAACCTCTAACCCCGTTTTCCCTATCTCTAGGACTTCTTGGAGCCGAGTTCTGAATTTTCGTCGCAAACTCCGCCCACTTTGGTCAAACCCCGCTCACCGGTGATAGCTGGGCTCCACTCCTCCACCCACCTCCATCCACCTTTTTCCCTGCCTCCGGGACTTCTTGGAGCCGAATTACAATTTCGGCGCAAACTCCGCCCACATTAGCGCACGCTCCACCCAACCGTAGCAGTTAACTTCTCTTTTTGCTGACCTATATCCACTTTTTTCCCGTTCTCCAGGACTTCTTGGAACCAAGTTATGAATTTTCCTGGGTAACTCCGCCCACCTAGGACTTGCTCCGCCCACCAATAATATTCTAGCTCTACTACTTCAACCACCCCCATGCACCTTTTTCCCGGTCTCCCGGGCTTCTTGGAATCGAGTTATGAATTTTCGTGATAACTCCGCCCACTTTGAACATGCTCCGCCCACTAATGGTATTTAAGCTCCACTCCTCCACCCACCTCTACCCACCTTTTTCCGTGCCTCCGGGACTTCTTGGAGCCGAGTTATGAATTTTCGTCGCAAACTCCGCCCACTTTGGGCCCCCGCCCACCGATAACAGCTGGGCTCCACTCCTCCACCCACCTCCACCACCTTTTTCCCGGGCCTCCGGGACTTCTTGGAGCCGAGTTATGAATTTTCGTCGCAAAACTCCGCCCAAGGCCCCCCCCCGCCACTTTGGGCCAAGCCCGCCACAGATCACAAGCTGGGCTCATTACTCCACCTCACCTCACCCATACTTTGGTCGAAGCCTCCCGTAACTTCTTGCAGAGACCGAGTTATGAATTTTGGGACTTACCGTCGCCCACTTTGGCCAAGACTCCGCCCACTTTGGCCAAGCCTCCGCCCACCGATAACAGCTGGGCTCCAGTACTCCACCCACCTCCACCTACCTTTTTTCGGGCCTCCGGGACTTCTTGGAGCCGAGTTATGAATTTTCGTCGCAAACTCCGCTCTTCAAGACTTCCCCGGCCCGAATTATGAGGACTTGTAGAAAATGCTGTACACTTCAGAGCGCGCCCCGCCCATTCTGGGCGGGCCTCCGCCCACGTCATGTATGCAGGAAACACCTTAGACATTGCTCCCTTACACCAAATTGTTTTCTGCTCTGTAGGCTTTCTCCCAACCGAGTTATGAAATTTTTCATAAAGCACTGCTTTTTTAGAGAACGCCCCGCCCACCGGGGGTGGGTCTCCCTAATTCGATGTGACTTACCAATGCACACCTTTACCCACTTTTTGGCCCAGTTTCGAGGTCGTTTTGTCACTGAAATCGAAATCTTGGTCTTCGGTACAGTTCATTTCGACGCACGCCACGCCCTCTGTGGGCGGGGCTCCGCTTAGCTGATGTGTGTTTTGTATTTCGTGAGACCTTGCCCACCCATTCCACACTTGACCCGGTCCCTCCAGGCGGATCCCGAGGAGCTAGGGAATTTCGTGACAGACACACAGACAGACGACAGACGACAGACGACAGACGAAGCGCTTTATAGTTAGTAGGATTGTGCTATTACACCATCGGGGCACCATTTTACCCCATCTCAGCTTCGACGGTGAAGTTACCATAGCTTATCAGCATTCACACGTGCAACGTGATGAACCGGTAGGCCGATCTCGGCGTTTAGCCGCAAGCCTGCTGTGTTGCTCTCTGCTGTGTTTACGGCTCGGAAAACCATCCTCTAATTGGAGCCTCAAAAATGTAATCTGCAAGTATAATGGCTTCCTGATTTTTCTCTTACGTACTCCAGAAGACCCTTTTTGTTCGATGTTGCTATTTACGTCGGATACCGCTATATATTCCAGTTCATTTGAAATTTCTCCACAGCCAACCGAACTCTCCCCAAGAACCTGATCACCTGCTTTGTCTCGAGCCATGACTACTTTAGCAAGTTCTGGTAGAATGCTTAGCACGCTATCATCGGCGCCAATTATCCATCCTTCGGCTCGTATCGTGTCCTTCCAGTCTTTCCATATGATATCGTCTGGCGGTATCTTTTCGATGATTTCAAACTCCATCTGTTTCATTCTAAATGACATTATTATAATTTTGCAATTTTGATAGGTATACATTTTGGCGAAAAAAAATTTTGTAAGGAGCGAGTTATTAGGTTCTCCACAAATTTTCTGCCGGCTATTGTGACCTATAATTTTTCGTATTTTGTTTATCATTTACGGCGATGTTAATGTTAACTAAAAACCTGCAATCTCCCGCACATTTCAATATGTAACACTTGCACATTTGCTTGAGTGTGGAGCTTAAAGGCAAAGTTCGGGCTCAGACCCACCTAAGAAATTTTGGCGAAAAGAAATTTTGTAAAAAGTACGCTGGCTAGAAGTGCTGGGTACGCAAGTGCAAAGGTAGCGCCACCTTTCTACATCGAAACGCGTCACTAGGACCCTAGGCGCCATGGACTTCTAACAGACTCCACCAAACTTAACATGGTCCGCCCACCGTTCGATATCTTGTCTGCGTCGCTGCGTTGATCTGCTATGCTCTCTCTTCTCGGACTTCTCTACCGCT